TAGTAAGTCGTGCCAGCGTTCTTGAGGCTGAAGGGCATAACCTTGTAGCAATACAACCCCCAATCTGTAACAAAGGAGGTATGCTCTTCGTTCGACACGTACATCGAAATTTGATTGTATCCCAAGTATGCGTCCATAAAACTTAGCAGCTTGTGCTCGGAGATGGCATCCACGAGCTGGTCATCCTGGGTAGGGAAAACTATTTTTTGGGCAGGCTTTGTTAAGGTCGGTGAAGTCGACACAGGTCTATCACTTGTCGTTGGGCTTCTTTACCAGAACCAGGTTGGTAACCCTGCTCGGATAGAGTGCTTCTCGGATGGATCCATTTCGAAGGAGATTATCTACCTCAAGTTTTAAGGCAGCATATCGCTCTGGATCCATCGCTCTTCTCTTCTGGCGAATCGGCTTGGCTTCACTGTCGATGTTCAAGGCATGACAAATAGTTTTTGGGCTGATCCCGACCATATCTGCATATGACCATGCGAACACATCGATATTCTCTCTGAGGAAGCTGGTCATTTAGGTGGCGAGCTAGGGGTTGAGATTGCCCCCAATCCTCAACACTCTGCTCGGCTCGCTCTGGTCGATCGACACTTCAGACAGATCCTCAACTGGCCCACTGGAAGGGCATTCCTGAATACGAGGATCCATATTATCCTCGGCTAGGCCAGGCTGCGGCTCGATCCGGCTGATTGCCATTGCTTGTCGGGCAATGCCGAGCGAGATGCCCTTCCCTTTGCACGCCATCTGCACTGCCCTTACATAACAGTCGCGAGATATGCGTTGAGATCAACTAACTTCCCCTATCCCTATCGGGGTGGGGAATTTCATCTTGAGATGGTATATCGAAGTGACCGCCTTGAAGTTTCTCAGCAGAGGTCACCCCAGGATACCATTAAAAGCAGATAGGCAATCCACTACCAAGAATTCAGTTACCTTGGTCACCTCGGTCACCTTGTCAGAGTCACCCAGCATGACAGGAAGCGAGATTGTTCCTTTGAGGATTAGGTGGTCCCTTGTAAAACCGTATAGAGGGATCGAGGTGGGCTTCAGGTTAGCCTCGTCCAAATTCATTCTTTCAAAAGATGTCTGGAACAGGATGTTCATCGTACTTCCATTGTCCACCAACATTCTGTGGACGTCAAAGCGCCTTATTAGGGGCGTGATCACGAGAGCGCCTTATTAGGGGCGTGATCACGAGAGCGCCACCATGGGGATGATGCAATCAAACTGCGTTCTTTTCGAAGAAGGTAATTTCTTCCTCCTTGTGAACCTTTGGTGGTCGCCGTGTCATGTTCATCACATTGATGGGATCGTGATAGGATGTGCAAGCATATCTTTCCTGAGCACCTCGTAAGTTCCCCGTGAGGTGCAATCCCCCAAAGATCATTCCGACACTACAGATACCCTTGCGATCACGACGCTTCTTTCCTAGTTCCCCTTGATTTTTCTCCCGCACGAGAGTGGAGTCATCAATATACTCTTTGAAATGCCCCTGCTTGATGAGATCTTCGATTGCCTGTTTGAGAGCTTGACACTCATCGGTGTGATGCCCATTATCCCGATGAAAGCGACAGTATTTTTTACTATTTCTGGCTGATGGGGGATTTTTCATGGGCTCAGGCTCTCCGAGCAGGCTAGCTTCTTCTGACTTGTCAAGAATAGCCGATACAGATGCATTCAAAGGCGTATATTGATTCCTGTCGCGATCGTGATAAGGAACTAGAGCATAAGACTTTTTGGGCTCGAACCGTGGTTTCTTTCATTTTCGTTGATCGTCATTAGCCCATCTGCGATCAACTCTCCTACTTTTTCCCCAACCAAGCGCACTACCTGAAGCGCCGGGGTCATGGCGGTGGAGCGCCAGCACAGAGTTTTTAATACGGAGGTATTTCTCCACAAGGTTGTAGAAGCGGGTGAGGGAAACATCATCCTCAGCTTGTAGCTCTTTCCACAGGTCGGTCTATGGGCAAACTCCCGCTATGATGAGAGTCTGAACAGACTTTTCGAGAGTGTGAGCTACCTTATTAAGTTCTCTATGGAATCAGTCGATGTAAGACTGGAGGGATTCATCCCTCTCTTGCCTTATGTTGCTAGGGTAGCTTAAAGGCATTGAGAACTTTCGGTTTGCTTGGAAGTGTCTCAGGAACGTCGTGTTCATCTGAGACGACGAGCTAATCTATCCCGCTGGAAGCGACCTAAACCATTGCTTGGCATGAGAGGTTAGGGTTACTGCTAAACAACGACACTTCGCCAAGTCTGAAACCTGGTGAAGCTCCATCAGATCGTTGAATTCATATAAGTGATCCTGCAGATCAGAATTTCCATTGAACGCCCGCATATCGGGCATTCTAAATCTTGATGGGAGAGGGGCGGCTAATACCACCGGAGTAAAGGGAGACACTATTGAGACCTGCCCTTACTCATTTTGCTGAGCTTTTAGCTGATCTAGAGCTCGCTGTAGCTCCTCAATCCAAGGCAGCGGAGCTATCTAGGGATTGCTTTTCCCCATGCAAGTTCGGCCCTCGCGATTACGGTTGAGGAAAGTCCGAAGGTTGGATTCCTCTTCGCCTCGGCTGACAATTCTTGTCACTCTTGACACACACTGGCTAGAGTCATTTGTGGCGATGAATGGTGTGGGGAATTTTTACGACCTCTGCGATGGTATGAACCACCCCGCGGAGTGTGGGAACTGTCCCGTAGAATGTGGGAACCACTCGCACTATGACAATCAGGATCGTTATGGCGGTGATGAGAATTGCCCCACCTAGCACTTTTATGGGAGTGTTCATGCAACGTGGCATGGGACGGCTTAGGATGCGACCTTTCACCGAGCCTTAACGCCACGAGTATTCTACTCGGGACGTGGTCGATGCTTGCCGGCCTTTGGAAGCCCTTAGGCCCGTTGTTTGCCACTTGCTTACCCTTTCTTCGACGAGCTGAAGTATGCGCGGCATGGGGTATCGCCCTTTTCTGCGCTTTCGCGCGACCTGCAGGCGTTTTTGGCAGTTGCACCGCCCCATTCGATTCGGGTGGCATGCCCCGGTCCAAACGGTCTAACCTTTGATTGACCGTTTGGAGAGTATTTTTGAACCTCTCCAGGTAGCTCATGATGGCAGGGTCAAGTTGTGAACTTGAAGGGATATCCCCCGCGACATTTTGCGGAACTGAGGGCACCTCTAGGGAAGTGTCTTCTTGTACTTGGGGGGTCTCCTCATTACCATGATTGGTTCGCTCATATTCGAATCGGCGAGCCATTTGTTGTTGTAGGACCGTTTAGTCAGAGATTCTCCTGATGAAGGACGAATACTAAATTAGGCTCTCCTTTTAGTGCCAAACTATTGATGCTTGATTTTGACACCAAATAAACGCACATGTGAAATGCTGAGCTGGCCTAGAAGACACACGTAAATGAGGGATTGAGAATGTAAATGGTGGAAAGACAATGTTTAAAGTGGTTCGAATGCTTAAACAAGCGAATCCTACATCTACTGATATTGTATTTATATTTGAAAGATCAGGTCACAACTTAGCAAGCTGACTTTAGATTGTTGAGAATACAAATGAGAGAGAGAGAGAGAGAGAAAGAGAGAGAATAAGCTATTACAGAGAGAAGATAGCTAATCAAGAGTAAAAATGAGCGAATCCCACAAACGATAGAGAAGCTCTCTATTTATAGCGGGATACATTGAGGTAATGATTACTGAATCCGTAAAAAGGGGTCAGGTACCGTGCAAATCCTTCTTTGCGTCCCGTTGTTCATCTACTCGAGTGATTTCCTTGGTTCATACAAGAATTGGACATGTGGACCGCTTCCAGCCTCTCGTCAGTCTGGCGCACACCCACTGCACTAGCAGGAACATGCTGCTTACGCCAACATACAATGTGGCCACGCCTGAATGTCTGTAGGATCTGCCTAGACTCTGACCATTTATGCTGACTGGGCTCTACGTCAGCCCTACTTTTCTAGGCATAACACAATTAAATACAAAACAACCCACTACACCACCCCCAAAACTCAAAGACCTTGCAAGCCCCATTTCCACATCCATGGAACCCATTACCCATCACCAATACATAAGTTAGCTGATAATACTCATTTAAAAAAGAGATCCAACCCCACAAACCACTTCCATCACACAATAAACAATAATAAACTAAAATCCAAATCAATGAAGGTAAAAAACAAAATCCAAAAGGAACTAAAAATTTTAAATTACCTTTTTGGTCAAGGTAACGAGAAAACTATTAGGAGATNCTCACTAATTTGGAGGTTGGGAGGGATAATAATGTCATATTGATGATTCATAAAGTAGTCATGTGATTTTTGGAAAACATCATTAACCACCGGTGGATAGTCTGATCATAAAAGAGTAAAAAGAGGGTTTTATGAGCTCTTGAGTTCCAGTCTCCTCAGGTACTAATAGGGATAACCACTGAAACTCTTATTTAATCCCTAATTCTAGAGAATCAATTGAGGTACGCGTAAGTTGACACCCACAATGATAAAAAGAAAGAAAAAAAACATCATTTTGGAAAACTTTTGAGTACAGGAAAAAAAACATCATTTTGGAAAACTTTTGAGTACCTTATGTTTCTTTGGTTGCTGCAGGGACAACACCGATAATTCATGAAAGATATATAAAACAAATTACATAACCTGCTGTTTATCGAATCTTATGCCCTAATTAATTGTCGCAAAGTTTTTATTTGAAGCTGCATTGTTTAATTCTAAAGTTCAATTCATCCTCACTTCTTGCTTCTAAGTTCTAACGTGACTTGTTTTTTATATTCCAAAAGTTTTAAAATCTCTCTTTGGCATTGAAAACTCTGCTCCACTCCCCAAAAGATCCTCACAGACGCATCGAAAAATTGGAGAAAATGCATGTTGCTCCTCACGTGCTCTTGTTGCCCTACCCAGCACAGGGCTACAACAAGTCCATGCTGAGTCTAGCTGCTTCTTAGCCGTGCGAGTTTTCAAGTCACCTTCGTAAACTCAGATCACAATCACGATCCTCTCCTGCACAACACTGACATATCCGCCTTCTGTAATTGCTTTCCCCAAGTTTCAGTTCAGGTCTATATATCTGATGGTCTTCCGCCCGATCACCCACGTTCCGGTCTATACGCTAAAAAATTGCTTTTCTTCAATAGGTTTTTGTTCAAGCAGGCCTTGCGTGAGCTGTTGAATTCACTTAAAGAGGAAAAGGGACCGTTCCAGCTCCCAACGTGCGTAATAGCAGATGGTAATATGTGTTTTGCCATTGATGTTGCTGAAGAGTTTGAAATTCCTACTATTACTTTTCGAACTTACAGTGCTCATTGCTTGTGGATTTACTTCCATCTTTCCAAGCTTGTTGAAGAAGGGGAAGTTCCATTTGGAGGCGAGTATTGTTATTATTTTCATTATTATCATTTATATGTCTCTTTAACATTTATGATACACCAATTAGGACATATAATTAGAATATAAACTTAAAATACACAATATTTAAATTGATACAATTATATTAGATATTCATAAACTCTACATACATGAAGGACAAGATTCAAAATGCAACAAAACATCTATATTTAAGGGGTTATATAAACGGGGATGTGAGTGGTCCGGTAACTTTGTAGTTATATATCGTACTCTAATCTTTTCATTGAGGAATATGCTATGTATATATTTAGGATAATTACAAACCTTTCCAGTTATATTGTTATAAGGATTGACATGGTGGAAAGCACCAGGATAATGGATAATAATAGCCTAATAAGTTTCCCAACCAAGATCTTTTTTATTAATGGTATATATGTTTCCTTATCAAATAAAAAGCTTTCATTGAGAAAAATATTTGATAAAAAAAATAGTGATGCTAGGGTCCATTGTAATTGCAGATGAAAACCTTGACAAGCCTATTTCTTGCATTCCTGGGCTAGAAAATATTATTCGTCGGAGAGATCTTCCAGGCATTTGTAGATTTGAAAAAGCCGATGACCCTATATTGCAGTTCTTCATTAGAGAAACCTCTGCCTTCTCGAGCTTCTGGTCTTATACTTTAAATGAAATTGAAGCCCCTATGATAACTAGACTGGGTTCTTTCTTCAACATAATTTACGCCATTGGTCCTCAACATGCTTTCAAGTCACGCATCAATAACTCTTCACCTTCAACTTCATCCAATGGTATTTTATGGGAAGAGGACAAAAAATGTTTGACGCGGCTTGATTCTCAACCGACAAGCTCAGTATTATATGTTGGTTTTGGGAGTATGATAAGGCTCACTCGGGACCAAATCTTGGAATTCTGGCATGGCTTATTTAAGAGTGAAAAATCATTCTTATGGGTCATACGACCTGATTTGATTGGTGATATCATATTCTATGGAGCTGGAAAAGGGCACCAAGGAAAGAGGGTTCATCGTTAGTTGGGCGCCGCAAGAGGAGTCCTCTCGCACCCAGCCATTGGTGGGTTTTTGACACGCGGTGGATGGAAACTCAACGTTAGAGAGTATTGTCGATGGAGTGCCTATGATTTGTTGGCCAAAAATTGCTGACCAACGGTTAATAGTAGGTGTGTAGTGAGGTTTGGAAAATTGGATTTATTATGACAACGTGTGATAGATCAATAGGTAGTATGAGAACTGATAGTTAAAAAGAGAAGAAATCATGGAATCAGCTAATAAATTTAAAGGCTGGCTGGTGATAGTATTAAGGAAGGGGGTCTTTGTATCAACATAGAGAAGTTGATTCAGGATATCAAATCAATTAGCTCTTAGCTTACCTTTACATATAATGTGAAATAACAAGTTCTTTTATCTGCAACTAAAAAGTTAATTACTTTTTATGTTTATCTAAGTTCAAGTTTTTGTACAATATAGAAGAATCTATAATATCTAAGAGTAATCTAGGGTCTTGAACAGGCACGACCCAAAATTTTCTGGGCAATGGTAGTTCATCTCTTTTTCCGCCAATGATAAATTGCAGAGAATCACAGAAACCTTCCCATCTTCCCAAATCACAATCAGCCACAATCAATGACAATTGAAATATACAATGATGAAGTTGTTGTAGTGTGTTGATCTCTCATAAATTTTGATGTGCCAAAACATCTAAAAGTTTGATTGATTACTAACCAAAATAGCTAAGGTATGACACATCATAACCAAACCAAAATAGATTGTAGGTGGTATGACGTGCTAGCAGATTTTTCAAGAGGTAGACTTGCAAGATCAAGGCACAATTATTCAATGAAGAAAACTCCCAGATGAACGTGTCACATTGATGACATCGTTCCCCATGGCTTTCATCACCCTCAAAATGTGTGGCACCTGCACACGTTCCATTCAAGTCAAAAGTCAAGATATTCAAAAGAATCCTTGCACTCTTGACTATTTTCGAAGTCAATCAAGTCAAAACTCATTATCAAAAAGGAACGACCGTTCTGCGTGGTGGAACTCCATTCAAAACCCTAGATCTTAGAAAATTTATCCGTTTTGTCAGGAACAACTTTGTGTATGTCCTCTGGGTTCCATAGGCTATCATAGGCATTAAATGAACAAGACTAACTCTTTTAAGGGATATAAAACTCAGATTTTTTGCAAAGGGTAGAGAAGAGTCATATCAAATCAGATACATTATCATATAATCCTTAACTCAAAATTCAAATACTTATTCTCATTGTACTCATTTTGTAAATCTTTGAGGATCTTATTCTTATTGTGTGTATAAGCCTATAAAGAAGAGGCAATACTTCAAAAAACTTTGATTACAACTGAGTGGTGAAATACCTGTAATCTAGTGTGTGTGTGGCAAATCTTGTAAAACTATTGTATTTGGCGCAACCCAATTCTTGTGGAACTTCAAGGAGGTTGCCTTGAAGAAGTGGATAGGGACTGTGGATATAGCTCGAACCACATAAATCTTGAGTATTTATCTCTATAATATTTTAATACTCATTCATACATTCATTACACTTAATTATTATAAGTATTGCATTTATTATTTGATTTGGGTATCTTTATTCTCATTTACATTACATTAGTTTGTCATTTAGGTTGTTGAGTTTATTTATTGACTATAATTTGAAACTCATCATTTGCTATTATTGTATTGATAGTTTTTTACTGCTATAATTTATTTTATTCCTATTCACCCCCCTACGACTATGGCCATATTTAGGGTTAACATAGTGTATATTGTCAAGAGATTTTTTAACATTTTTATAATTTTTGGAGATTGGTGGTGAATCGTATACACCGTCTATGTGTGTAGGAAATTAATTGTGTGAGGCAAGGTTTATGGTGACTTTTGAGGACATGATTGATGATTCAAGAAAGAGGTAATGTTAGCTGGATTACTTGTCATTGAAAGCATAATGAAAGAATTATTTATTTTTCTTTTCAAATTTTAATTTTATACATCCTGACTAATCACTAATAACCCTACTCTGTTTCAGTTAGCTCCCTTACCTGTGCAGCTCCAGCTCGAGCTTGAGCCACTCAGTTTTAAAGGATAATTTTGACTTTTAACATACTTTTAATACCCTTATGTTTTCTTTTCTTTCTCCTCTTTTTTCTCTTATCTTGTTTTCTCTTCATTTCTCCTCCACTTGACACAGTGAATTAGCATCAAAAACAAGGCTACACTCGACATACCTTAAAGGTTGTAAATAAGTCTCAATCACAAAAACTTAATTGTAAAATTGAAGAAATATTAAAAATTTATATATCCTCAAAAGAAATGAATAATATGTATATATAGTGGTGAAACCAACTTTACAAGACTCCAATTAAAAAGAAATAAAATCTAAATTAATTAAAAGAAAAACTTAACTATTGACTAATTTTAAAATGAGAATAGACCTAAATAAAATAAGAAATACCCGTATGAAAACTTAAACGGCCAGGAACATGCCTCAGTTGTCTCACCTGCATCGTCGCTGCATGAAGTGGCCTATATTCGGCTTGACATCGCAATTTCAGGTCTGTTTCATTTCGTCTAGGCTTAATTGTATAAATTTATTTATCATAGAAAATTTGCCTGGCACCATTTATTAAGGAAATAGAAGTTCCAGATAATTTTCTCTGAAAAAATAAACCAAGCGATTGTCTTGCCGTTGAAGAAAATAGTTCAGCACCCATAACAGACTCTTCAAGAGAACGATCGAAATAGGTTTTTTTTTTTTTTTTTTTTTTTTTTTTTTTTTTTTACGTTCTATAGGGAGAGTGGGTTAACATATCAGTCCTTCAAGTTTGGTCACAGTAAAACTCGGTTTTCAAGTTTCAAAAAGTGAAATTTTAATCCAAAAAGGATAGTGTATTTGCTTCCTTCTCATCGTAATCTATTAACTTTGTCCAAATTATGTCAAAAGATTTAAATAACAAATTGTTTGAGTACATGGAAAATACATAACCTTTCAAACAAATAATCTCATATCTTAAAAGAAAACATATAATTGGTAGAACCCAAAATTGTTCGTTATAGAGTGCAATTAGAAGTACGAAAATTTTAAATTTTAAAGATTGATAGTAATTTGATGTCCAAGAAAAAGTTAAAATATTAAATACATATAGAAGATAATAAAATTGAAATGATAAAAGAAATAAAAAGAAAAAAAAAGGCACTAAATTAAGTTTTTTAATAGAGGCACAACTTAAAAGACGAAATACAAAGGGTGATAAGTACGTTTCAAATTTTAGGGGGGCTCGGAAGCACATATTTATACGTAAACTCGTACGCACACTAGTACTATCCCTAAGTTTAGGATCAAAAGAATCAGATATTAAAATCTGAGGACTGAGTGGACTTTCAGCAAACTTCAAAGGCACTTACTATCCATAAGTTTTGGATCAAATATCACATTTAAAAATATGAGGACTCAGCTGATTTCACTAAACTTCAAGTTTTTAACTTAGTGATAGTTGAACTGGTGTTTTTTAAAAAAATCTTCGTGGGTTGGATCGTTTGGTAAGTGGTAGCTATAAGCTATAACAGCGGCCAGCGTTTTGGTTTGATTAGGCTTGGACTCTGCCGTTTTATTGTTTATCACTTTATTACTGAATATTACAATAAAAAATTATTTTCATGACATATTGAAATCTATAGTCAACTCTCGACGTTGACTGTGAACAATTTTCGGTGCTGTGCTAAGGTCCAAAAATTAGAAGAGTAAATAATCATATTGGTAGTTGGATTAGGAAGGATATTGAAGGAGAAATATATAAATAAAATTTTGTGCTGTCAAACTTAAAAGTCAATTCCGGTATTCGGTCGTTTTCAGTAAGAGGTCACTACTCATTTTGTAATTGAATGGTAGTAGTGACAGCGTTGACATAGTTGTCATTCTCTATTTAAAGTCTTTGAATAAATGATAAATCTTAATTATTGCTAGATACGTAATTACACGTATATAGAGGATTTGAGTGGTTATGGAAAAGTTGTGGGATATCCTATTCCTACCCACCTTAAATAATCTTATATATGGTTTAGGGTGTATGATTTTTTTAAGGTTTAGGTTTTTTATGGTTTAAGGTTAAGAGTTTATCGTTTTTAGGGTTTAGGGTTCTTTAGGGTTTAAGATTTTTTACAGTTTAGGGTTTAGCGTCGTTCAGGGGGTTTCAGGGTTTTGTTTAGGTTTTAGGGTTAATGTTTTTTGGGTTTTGGTTTAGGGTTGTTTAGGGTTTGAGATTTAAGGTTTTTTAAGCCTTAGGTTTAGGGTAGCGGTTTAGGTCTTAGGGTTTTTCAGGTTTTAGAATTTAGGGTTTAAAGTTTTATAGGATTTAGAGTTTAGGGTTTAGTATTTTTTGGTTTAGGGTTTTTAGTGTTTAAGGTTAGGGTTTAAGGGTTTCTAGGGTTTAGGTTTTATGGTTTTTCAGGGTTTAGGGTTTAATATTTTTTAGGGTTTAGAGTTTAGCGTTCTTTAGGGTTTTGGGTTTTTTATTGTTTAGGGTTTTTAAGGATTTAGCTTTGGGGTTTTGGGTTTTTAGGATTTAGGTTTACGGTTTACGATTTATGGTTTAAGGTTTTATTTATTTATGATTTTTAGGTTTAATGTTTATGGTTTGGGTTTGGGTTTAGCATTTATGGTTTAGGGTTTAAGATTAAGGGTTTTGGGTTTTCAAGATTGTCTTTAGGCTTTTTATGGACTTAGAGTTCAGTTTTATGGTTTTTTAGGTGTAAGTTTAGGGTTTTTTATGGTTTAGGTTTTTTGTGTTTACAAGTTTTAGGTTTAACGTTTATGGTTTCAAGTTTGGGTTATGATTTAGGGTTGGGGTTTAGGGTTTAGTGTTTAGGGTTACGGTTTTAGGGTTTAGGCTTTTGGTTTTTTGGATTTAGGGTTTAGGGTTTCAAGTTTTTTTTTTCTGTTTACGATTTTTTTGGGTTTAGGGTTTTAAGTTTTTTAGGGTTTACAGCTTAAAGTTTTTAG